TCAGGAAAATATACTTCAGCTTCACTCAGTTTGTTACTAAATAGTAGCGGAGGAATTGGGGTGAAATGTAAGAGAATCTTTGGACTTTTCTTTGGTTCTGGACCTGAGACAGAATCTGCACAGCTCCACGTCAGGCTGGGCAATAATGGTGTAATATTGTCCTCCATGATCTAAAAATAGCCAAGTTTTGCTCTGGTTATCGCTGTCAGCTGCATACAGACATTAAAACATCAAACTGAGGTTGCACGGACCGAGGCACTTCCTGGAAACTGAAGAACCGAACAGGACAAACGGCTGTGAAGGTTTAATTCCTTCACAGTTTAATGGGAGGACATGAAATGAAGTTTGTTTCTTGGAATAATTCTGCAGTTTTCCAGATCTAACATGTAAATTTGATCTGCACAAATTTACAGTCAATGTTTCTGCAGAGATCTTCACTCAGTGAACCTGATTCACATCCACACATTTCAGTCTGATCGGTTTTTATTTTTTCAGATTTACTTTCAATCATCTGCTTAACAAAAAAAATTAAATTCTTTGATTTCAGAGAGCAGAAAGTCAGATTTTTTCTGACTAAAGCAAGAGACGTTCTGCAGCTTTTAACATGATCTCAGATGGTTGGTAAAAAACATGCAACACATCCAAACATCATGCAGGTTTAAATCTTGCATTATGTGATTATAAAGAGTTTATCGCTTGAGCTGTGGGAGGTGAGAAATCTGCAGGAGTGTAATAAGAATGAAAATATACAAAAAAAAACTGATGAAAACAATGAATGTCTGAAGTCCAAACCAAATGTTTTCTAACAAAACATTTTTTATTTTTATTGGTTTTCATTTCCATTTCTATTAACGTCTCTGGAAAGAAGAAATGATCTTTCCACCACATGATAACGAGAGCACTGGAGGAAAAACCTGCATGTTAATAACAGAAGCATCTGCAATATATCTGTCAGAAGTTCTCAGAATCCCAGGAAAAGCCTTTCAGCTCCTACCATCACAAACATAAACAGAGTTTCAATCAGAACCAGGTTTAACCGAGACAGAACCACTGAGACAGAACCACCGAGACAGAACCACTGAGACAGAACCACCGAGACAGAACCACCGAGACAGAACCACCGAGACAGAACCACCGAGACAGAACCACTGAGACAGAACCACCGAGACAGAACCACTGAGACAGAACCACCGAGACAGAACCACCGAGACAGAACCACCGAGACAGAACCACCGAGTCAGAACCACCGAGTCAGAACCACCAATCGGACCGATTTCAAACCATGATGTCCGATTATCAGCAGGGATTCAGCTGTTCTCATCAGTCTCACTCCAGAGCTGCTCGTCTCCCGTTTGCTGCTGTGGAAAGGAGATCAGCTGATCGGAGCCGTAGCGTTCACAAGCGCCGTTTATTTTAAACGGTGTTAATAAACTCCAGCTGCGATTCTGGGAATAATTTATGAGGTTTAAATTTAGGTTGAAATGATTAATTGGATTAATGATGAAGAATTGATTATTGAAATAATCAACTAATTTAGTATCGACAAAAAAATCCTATTTTTCTGTAACAGATCAGTTCTGCATCACTCTGCTGTTAAAGGAAGCTTTTCACTTCTAAAAGAATGGTGTGTTTGCATCAATACAAATTTTATTTTCTTATTTAGAAAACTAAAACAGTCATTACTTGCAGCTCTAGTTGAAACGTCGTCATGAAACGATGATCCTTCACAAAAACAGAATAAAAACAGATCATAAATGAAGAAGCCATTTTTAATGACCAACTTGACCGAACCGAGTCTTTTACAGAAATATATACAGCCATACCCGGAATCAAACCTACAACTTTCTGACTGCTCTTCACTTTGCTTTTCAGCAGAGTCACACAGAAACACGCAGAACTGCACAAAGTCAAACTGCAGCTTCCTCCACCGTCCTCTCTTCTCACACCTTAATGTAAAGAACGTGAGCTCCAGAGAGTGGGCAGCGATCCGAACGGGCCATCTGCTGGAGAGCAGAGGAGGAGGAGGAGGAGGAGAGAAGGAGGAAGAGGAGGAGGAGGAAGAGGAGGAGGAGGAAGAGGAGAGGAGGAAGAAGGAGGAGAAGGAGGAGAGGAGGAGCAGGAGGAGGAGGAGGGAGGGGAGGGGGGAGAGAGGAGGAGGAGGAGGAGGAGGAAGAGGAGGAGGAGGAGGAGGAGCAGGAGGAGCAAGAGGAGGAGGAGGAAGAGGAGGAGGAGCAGCAGGAGGAGGAAGAGGAGGAGGAGCAGGAGGAGGAGGAGGAAGAGGAGGAGGAGGAGGAGGAGGAGGAGGAGGAGCAGGAAGAGGAGGAGGAGGAGGAGGAGGAGGAGGAGGAGGAGGAGGAGGAGGAGGAGGAGGAGGAGGAGGAGGAAGAGGAGGAGGAGGAGCAGCAGGAGGATCAGGTGTCTTAATCTGGATTGACAGTTGCGTCTCTCCCATCGTGTCTCCACCTGCTGCACAGATGCTGTTTCTGAATGAAGCTGTGCGTTCATACATCCCATAACCAGGCAGCCATGGCAACCGTTGCTGTAGCTACAGTGGTGGCAGGTTTCCCAGAGGAAGCCGTGGGGGGTAAATACTGTAGGTACAGTAGACGACGAAACAACCCCGCACCAGAAATAGCTACTACAGGAAAAACCTTCTCCAACAAGCCGAGTGAGAAAGTTCATTTTGTGTTGTTAAAAAATATGAATTCTGCTGTGAACGAAGGATTTGAGACATTTTCACTTCGTTCATGAGGAACGGTTTCAGATCCCTAGAGGTAATTATCCTTCATAGTAAAATCTGAAAAGCAGATTTTTTTTCATCTGAATTGTCAGAAAATCCTGAACAGTGAAACAGAAAGAGCATCAGATGTAAAGCTCACACAGCGGAGAGGATTTATTTCACAATGGTTTCTATTCATAATGTTGACAAAAGTATTAATTCAGAAGTGATTCTTCATCTCTTGGTGCATCAAACATGGATCAGTTGTCCCGACTGTTAAACATCATGTTGCTTCTGTTACCTGCAAAAACTTTATTACTAGTAGTTACAAATCTCAACTTTCAAACCTTTTGTTTAGTTACATCAGAAGTTAACATCAATAATTTGGCTTTTTATTCCATAATGAGACGAAAAAATGGGGTCAATATTTCACCACATGATTGATTTATTATATATGTCACAGTTTCAAACTAGATATTTAATAAGAATGCTAAATATTTAGTCTACAAAGTAACCATTTAGCTCCAAGCTCAATATGAAGTTCATAAAAAAATGTTGTTTGCAAACTAAATAATTAGCTCTAAACTGAATGTAACTCTTAAACTGGATAATTACATATTTAATCTGAGAACAATTTGAACTCCACTAAACAGAAGTCCTCCAGACCACTAGGGGGAGTTGACCAACACAACATACAGGACCGAACCCTCAGCAACGACGGGATATCAAGAATAAAATTAGACGACGTCCATTTCAAACATGGCGTTATTTTCAACATGATGGAACAGCAGCATTTTTATAGGCAACAAAACCTGCTCCAGACTCCACCTAGTGGTCTGGAGGACTTTGTTGTGTGGAGTTTGCAGCGTTCAGTGATAAGGACTGGTGCTAATTTTTCATTTAGCACATTAGCTTTTCTGATAACTTTGCTACCTATGAAAATGGTTGAACTTAGCAGCTTAGAATTAGCTTTTGCTAAGTTCTGTGTTGGAATAGCAGCTAAATGTTGGCAGAACTAATGATGATCAGTGTTTTTGAGTTAGCATAGCGACTTTTATATTTGATTTTTTGCTTCTATTTCCTGTGGTTGAATTTTTTGTTTTTATCTTTGAGTGTTTAGGAGTTTGCATGACTGATGTGTTTTCAACACATTCCACAGTTTGCACCAGTTGGCTGCGTTATGTGGCGACTGGAATCTGAATCAGATTTTTATGCGCCGAAGGTTCACAGACTGAAGCAGGTGAGTTTATTAATAGAATAATAATAACTGTCTTGTTCCCCGGTGGGAAAGTTCAGACATAATGACAGCAAGTGCCAGTCAAAACATGTAGATTTACAAAAAATAAAAATAAAATAAGATAATTAAGATACTTTCCAGTAAGTCTCTTGTGTGTATTTATGGAATGTGAAATAATGTTGTCCTGAAGTTCAGCTGATGACTCACTTCATCACAGCAGCAGAACATTGAACGGCTCTGACCTCCAGAAGGACCAAGGAGCCTTTCAGCAGCCGACAGCAGAGCTGCTGAATTTTCCCAGTTTTTTTATTCCAGCTTCAACAAAGAGCAACAGAACCACAGGAGAGCATCAGCGCATGGAAACCAGAAGCAGAAAAGGTTCAAATTCAAACAAGCAGACCGGAGATCGCCCCAAAAGCAGTAAGTGCACTGCAGTGCACGGCATTCTGGGTAAATGCAACCCAAACAAACATGCTAGCCTAGTGCTAGCAGGAAAACTGTGTCTTGATTTTTAGCTAAAGATAAGAGAGAAATGATCCAACTATATTTTTATTTCCATTTCATGAAGAAGGAAGTTGCACTCTGAAGGTCTTTGTGTTTGTGCTTGTCAGTGCAGCGCCCCTACAGGCGGGGAGGGGAACAGGTTGGTTTGACTCAGAGCAGAGAGAAAAAGAACCACAGCAGCAACAAATGTTGAAGTTCTGATCCCTAACTGGACTATCAAATGGAAAAGATCTTGAATTATTACCTGGACATGATAACTGATGTCCAGGTAATCTCTGAAGTCCAGTAACTGTAGAATAATCTGATAACTCAGATGTTTGTGGCGATGGAGAGATGGAAACATCTTCATATCAGCGCTGCACAATATAAGAAAATATTGCTTTTTTTCTGCTTCCCTATAGTTCTCTTCTGCGACCTTTAACCTTCTGATCCCTCTGACCTAACTGGAGGACTGCAGCTCTATAGAGTCCAGCTGAATGAACCAGATTCCCACAACAATCCCAGAGAGTCCGCTGCTGCCAGGCGGCGTTCTGGACTCACCTGGGCTGGCGCTGCGCGGTCTGGGCCCGCCGGCTCTCCTCGCCCAGCCGGCTGAGGGAGGGCGAGCGGCTCCTGGCCCCCCGCCCCATAGTGCGGACCACCACGTTGCCATTGGGGCTGCCGCTGGGCATCTGCTGGACCAGCTGGGGGGACAGGCTGCGGTGCAAAGCTGAGGAGCCAGGCTGCGCGTGGCCCTGCTGGGGGGCCCGGTGCTGGTGGCTCTGGTGCTGCTGCAGATGTGGGGCCCAGTTTCCAGGGGAACCGTGCTGCTGCTGGTACTGGCTCACAGAAAGGTTGTTGTCGCTGTTGGAGCGCAGGAGGACCCGGGGCGCCGACAGCGAGGACGGGGACTGACCGTTTCCGCTGCCAGAGGACGGACCCCGCCGGCGCTTGGAGTACGCTGGGGCCTCACGGAAAGGCACTGGAAGGAAAACACAGCGTCAGTCTGCAGGAGAAACGGAACTGAAATCTGTGGATCAGCTGCTCAGCAGGTCTCTAAACCGCCTGCAGCTCAGAGGGAAACATGTCAGACAGCTGGCAGCAATATTTACACATCTTCATTATCGTCATATTTCACTTCCACTCAAACGGACAGAATCAGAAGCTTTATTGACTCGACTGGAGGCTGATTGGTGGGAACATCGATCGATCGACCCGATCGACCCGAAACACCAGATCTACACTTTCATCCTAAATGTAAATAGTTTTTATATTTTCCCGAGTCGAAGCTCCAGATGATGAGCGAAGTGAGAATGAAGGGATGAAGCAACAAGTAGAGCGAATGATGAAATCGAGACCAAAACACCAAACTGAAACTTTTATCATCCAGTTTCTGGTTGATTGATTTGATCTGAATAAATGTTGTGACTAATTGATTATTAGTTATTGGCTCCGCTCTTCGTCTCAGCATCATCACTGCGACTATCAGAATCAGTTTTATCCCTTCGCCTGTCTGGACAGAACCAGAACGGATCTGGTACCGGAGCCAGGCTCATCTCTGAAGCTTCTGCTCTCGGTCATCTGAAGGGGAATCGATGAGTCGTTATCATCGTCATCAGACTAACATGTGAGGCTCCCTCCCTCCCTCTGCCTGTGTGGACGAGGTGCGATCGGATAATGAGCTCTCACATTTCAGAGCCGCCGTGTCTGCGCCGCTTCCTCAGGCTGCGGCTCCATGCTGCTCGCCAAAAACGCATCAACATGCATTTAGAAACTCATGTCAGGTTGTTGAAAGAATCGCCGGTTTGTCTTTTCTGCAGGCTGGAATCGTAAGGTTTCTGCTGCTCTGAAATGTTTGAGTCGCTCCCATCATCCCAGAAACACACAGACATCTGATTGGCTTCTGATTCACCGTGTTTAAGAATCCTGCATAATTCAAAAGTCTGAAGATTCGTCCCTTCAGATTAAAGTCCAGCAGTCTGGAGTCCAGCTGTGCAACCAGAGGACAAATTCCAGGAAGACGACAAAGTCTCAAAAGGAAACATTAAACTGCAGCATCAATAAAACCTCCAGTTCATTTGATGAAATGAAGTTTTGTGGTGGGACAGAACTGAAAAAACGAGCCGTTAACGAAAGCTGAGGCGGTTTCACCTGGAGGCCTGATCAGAGCAGCAGAAGAAAAACTTCATCTCTCAGGTCTGCAGACCTGAACCTTAGTTTTTACAGGTTTCTACTGAATCATGTAAACATGAAAAACATGAAGCCGGGTTTCAGTTTCTCCTGCAGGAAACATGAAGAGCAAAATGCAGATCACACACACACACACACACACACACACACACACACACACACACACACACACACACACACACACACACACACACACACACACACACACACACACACACATCAGCCTGGCTGAGTCCGACAGTGAAAACTCCTTCAAAACGGCTAGAATCGCTTATTAGTTAGAGAACTAAATTTTAGTTGGAAGCTAAATATTTAGCCATTTAACTTCAAACTAAACATTCAGCTCACAAACTAAATAAATATAAAATATTTAGCTACAAGCTAAACATTCAGTGTGAATACAAATATTTAACTTGATTAAATATTTAAGTATTCAGTTTCAAACTAAACAATTAGTTAACAGGCTAAATGTTTAGTTTAAAATTGTGACACTCTAAATAACCTTCATTTCTGTCTGTGACTTTTCAAACCCCAAACACTTTAGATCAACTCTAAAATCTTCACAGGATTTTTTTAGTTTAAAAATCAAAACTAAATGTATTTAAAGTTATAATGTTCAAATTATTCATTAATTGTTACATTTCAACATTTGGTTCTGGTCTGATTTGGTTGGATTTAAGAGAAGTCTCAGTCTGACTTTAGTGTTTATACAGATAATTACTGAACACATGATTTAAAAAACTTTAACGACACATAAAACATAACGAACGATGATGCTCATCAGAAAGAAACTCTGCAAAAGTGTCATTTGTGAGCCGTAGTTTACAGCTGTTGATGTGGACAGGTTCATATTTTTGATCATTTTGTGCCGTTAATGTTGGAGACAGAGGCTGCGGCGTGACGGCGGCGTGACGGCGGCGCGGAGCCTCAGCGTCTGACAGGCGGTGGTTAACTCTGACAACAGACAGAGGCGTTCGCCTCCCGTCACCTCACTGTCAACTTCAGCTTGGATTTAAAGGAAATGTCAGGATTCGTTTATTCTACACTAACGACAGGTTTTAGCTGCACAAACAGGATTTATTATTTATGAGTCATTTGTAAAAAACAAACTGGAGAAAGTCTCAATACAGAAACAAGATTTCATTAAAAACATTGTATTTCAAAGATGGCAGCGAGATCCAGATACATAGAAATATTGGTCATCCAGCTGTTTGGTCATTTAATATAAAAGATCCATCCATCCATCCATCCATCCATCCATCCATCCATCCATCCATCCATCCCTCTATCCATCCCTCCATCTATCCGTCCCTCCATCCATCCATCCCTATCCATCCATCCATCCATCCATCCATCCATCCATCCATCCATCCATCCATCCATCCATCCATCCATCCATCCATCATCCATCCATCCATCCATCCATCCATCATCCATCCATCCATCCATCCATCATCCATCCATCCATCCATCCCTCCATCCATCCATCCATCCATCTATCCATCCATCCATCCATCCATCCATCCATCCATCCATCCATCCATCCATCCTCCATCCATCCATCCATCCATCTATCCATCCATCCATCCCTCCATCCATCCATCCATCCATCACCGTGTCCAGGTGAGAGGCGGGGTCACCTGGACAGGTCGCCAGTCTCTCCTGACAGCTGGAGCAGGAGACCCCACCATGCTGACTCTGTGCAGAAAGACCCCGGGTCGGGAATCGAACCCAGGACCTTCTTGCTGCAAGGCAACAGATCTAGCAACTGCACCACTGTGCTGCCCTCTTCATCCATCCTGATGATCCAATTAATCCTCCTCATCCTCATTTATGAGCCATTTTACTGTCCTCATCTTCATCATGTTACAACCACTGTCCGTCCCTCGCAGCTCCAGCTTGTCCAGTCTTTGTCCTGTTCTGCCTCATGTTTCTGTTCCTACTCTGCCCTTCATCACACTCATCCTCCTCACCCTTTCATCAATCTTCTCTATGCCACCTTCAGGCATTAACACATTCATCTTTCTTTAAAACTTATTTCGATCTATATCTGCACTCTTCATCCTTTTTCACAAACCTGCTTTACGTTTTCACACATTTTCAGCCAAATTTGAAGCTTATTTACAGTAAGCAAAGGTTTACTTACTGTTAATATTCATGTTTTATTCATGTTTTAACGTAGCATGTGGGGGTTTGCTCAGTCGGTCTGATGAAACACATGAAGCGCAACTTTCTGATTCATCCTTCCTGCTTGGCTGCAACCGCAGAGGTCTAAAGAGATTTAGGACAATTATTTAATCCTAAAGATGTTTTTAAAGATCCTTTAACTCTGTCCTCGTGAGTTTCGCTGATTTCATTTAGTGAATGCAGTGATTTACATTCATGAGATGACAGATGGGTAACTGGTTATCTGTTAGTAGCATGTCAGCGCTGATGCAACATCCTGATGACTCACAAGTCATCAGGATGCACATCAAGAAAAACCTCCAGCAGAGACCAGATGTTCTCCACAAACCTGGAGAAAAAACTTCTGCAAACTCTGCAGGAAAATGGAGTTTAAATCCTGAAAGGACGGCCTTTCTGGAGAACCAGAACCAGAACCAGGTTCTCATCAGGCTGTTTCCCGGCTGGAACATATTCAGCTGCACATCGAGACCAATTTACCCCAATTTACCCCAATTTACCCCCCTGACATGGAATAAGATCCCTAGAATAACTCCAGCCTTCCTCTGATCCGATCAGCTGCTGCTTTCATTCAGGAGACAAAACGCGACGGACAGCAGCTCCGTTTCACACAGCCAGATGGACGGGCTGCTCCGGTCTGTTCGGGTCCTGCTCCGGTTCTGTTCCGGTTCTGTTCCGGTCTGTTCGGGTTCTGCTCCGGTCCTGCTCCGGTTCTGTTCGGGTTCTGCTCCGGTTCTGTTCCGGTCCTGCTCCGGTTCTGTTCGGGTTCTGCTCCGGTCCTGCTCGGTTCTGTTCGGGTCCTGCTCCGGTTCAGCTCCGGTTCTGTTCGGGTTCTGCTCCGGTTCTGTTCGGGTTCTGCTCCGGTTCAGCTCGGGTTCTGTTCGGGTCCTCGGTTCTGTTCGGGTCCTGCTCCGGTTCAGCTCCGGTTCTGTTCGGGTTCTGTTCGGGTCCTGCTCCGGTTCTGTTCGGGCTGACCTATAAACTGCTCCCCACATCCCGACAAAGACGCTCTAAATCAACTCGGCTGGTGTTGTAAATGGACCACAGTCCGGTTCGGTTCGGTTGGGTTGTGCGGCTGAAGTGAGCCAACTCTGCGCGTCCAGCTGCTCCGGAAAGTGCGTGAAGAGACGCGTGAAGAGACGCGGGTCGCTCCGCTTACCTTCCTTCTTTAAGGCATTGATGATGGACTTCATGGTCGCTTCGGTTCCGGTCCGACTGGACTCTCCGACTGGACTCTCAGGAGCCCGGAGTTTCCGCTTCAGCACCGCGGACAGCGACGGCTCCTCCGCGGCGCGCCCCGCACATCATCCCGCACCTGCCTGCTGCCACCGCCTGCTTTAAAACCAGCGCGAGCGCTTCCGCTCACAGCGGCGCGTGCACGTAGCCCCGCCCACTTCCGCCGGCGCCCCGCCCTCCGGCTTTCTCCTCCAATCAGGATGAAATATCAGGACCAAAGCTTTATGATCAGGCATCGATTTAAAACAACCGGAGAATTATAGTAAATAATAACATGCAGGAGGAGAAGGTGGAGAACTGAAAAATGTTTTTAAAGGGGCAGGATCATAAAAAAACAAACATGTCATAATGTTATTTCCTCATTAAAAACAA